CGTTTCGGAACGCTCTGAGAAGGCCGCGACGCCCGATACATCCTCCGGAGCCGCCGGATCTCAGAGATTCTCGATTCTTCCACACCCGAATTTATTCTCTTTCTGGCTTCCTCTTGGTATTCACCACCGACCAAACCACCCCAACCCAACCCAAAGGCTTCGATTTGCCCTCCGTTTCCAGTGTGGGGGGGGGGCCCGGGAACATCGAGAAAACACATATGGAACCCGTACCGCCCCCAATCCGAAATTCGGGTCTTCGGGTTGGGTTGGGGTGGTCAGGTAGGTAGTCACGGTGTACTTTTGAGTCGGGCCTGTCCCTCTACAGGAGGAGTATTCAAGAATAGTCGAAACATACTCTGGGGACGATCTTTTGAGCATCTATATATATACACACACACACCATTTTTCGTCCAAAAGCCCCCTGTAGGAGGACAGGCACGACTTAAGTGTTTTTTCGAGCCCCCCTGGGGCCTCGGGCGGACGGAGGGCGGAGGTCGGAGCGGGTCGGCCCGGCCGTGCCGCCGCACCCCAAAAAACGGCCAGGCGAGGGGCCGGTCGCGGCGGCACGTGGCGCGGCGCGGGCCCCGTGACGGCCGCGACCCGCTGAAGGCGGCGCCGCGGCGGCTTGGCTGGAGACAGAGGTCGTCGCGCCCTGTCCGGGCCCCCTCTCGTCGGTATCGTCTCACCGATGCCCATGCCCATCCCCATCCCCTTCGAGACCCCCACCGAATTATCCCCCCCGAGTTGGGGCTACACCCCTCGAAGCCCGAAGGGAACGGCCCAGATCCCCATCTAGGGGGGCACATCTGCCAGTGGGGCCCAGGCCACGCCGCCGGGGATGGGGATCGGTTAAGCGATACTCACCTCGGCCTTCTCGTCTCGACCTCCGACGGTGGGGGCGTTCATTGAGGAATGTGCCCAGGAGGCTTCAAACCCTTATCTAATGAGGGAGGCGGTGGTATCCATGGCCAATCCACCATTGGAGTTCCACCTGCTTCGGGACCCTGGGTTCCCTATCCAATGGTTCCTTATCCAATGCCCTCACCGTGGTCCCGTGAAAGGGTGAGGACCTTGGAGATCTGGGGGGGCAATGTCGACAGAGCAGCGAGGGGTTTTGTGAGGTCTTGGGGCCTGTCTGGGGATTCTCGTCGCCACGGCTGGACGCGGCTCGAGAAACTGGCAAGTCTGCACCTTGACAGAGGTGTCGGGATGTGTGTTTCAGCGGATTTTCGTCGGGGGCTGATCCAGGCCTCCCAGGTTGGGTCCGAGTGGATGGGGTCGGGGGGATCGCGCCGCATCGCCGATGCTGCCCGATGTGGAGCCCAGTTTTCTCCACGCCGTCGGCGCCAGAGCACTGCCGATGTCGCCCATGCATCGCCGATGCACCGGGGATGCATCGGCGATGCGGCGCGATATTTAGGAGGCTTTCATTCCCGCCCTGACATCCTCGCGTCGTGGAATAATCGCGGCGGGGGAGGGGGGGGGGCCGGGCGCGAGCCGGCGCGGCGGGCCCTCGGGCCAACGGCGGCCGAGGTGCCGAGAGGGGTGGGCCCGTGCGGGCACCGAAACGCCGGGAAGCGGCGAACGTGAGCGCGCGTGGGTGACCCGCCGTGCGGCGCCGGCCGGGGGAAGGCGGAAGGAGGACATGATTTTCGATTATCTTTCGGCCTCTGGGGTCCCTCGTTGGGCCTTGGGGCCGTCAACGCGACAACTCAGATGAAAGGCAGGTCCCTGTGAAGGGGGTCCCGAGATTGTGAAGAATCATAGGCTGTCTAAACAACATCGAAGAAATTTCGAGGAGGAACGCCGGCCATGTACCTTACTGCTGCCCTTCCCTCTTGCTTCTTCGCCCATTGGCCGGATTCGCGCCGAGGTCGAATAAAAAACAAAAAAAAACTGTCAGAACGCGCCCCGGGAGGGTCCTGGGAGCATGGTCCATCGGTATTTTTGACTATTCGTTCCCCCTTGCGGCCCTCCCCCCTTCCTCGACGGCCACCCCCCTTCCCTCGGCCTTTCCCCCTCCCTCTCCTCCATTTTTCCCGACTCCCTCGACTACAACTTACCCCCCCACCCCACCCAGCCTTATTTCGGCCCATTCCCTCCCCCCCTCGTCTCTTCTCTCTCCATCCCTCGCTCTCCCGCCCGCCCCCCCGGACGCCATCTCCTAGTGCTGCGCCACGGGACGGCTCGGAAAAGAGAGGAGGCCGCGGCTTCCGCGCTGGCTCTGGACGCACCGTGAGGTATGGAGGTCCAGCCCGCGGCACCCTTCTTGCCGAGTTGTACCACTCTTCTGCTTCAATTTCTGAGATCGGCGCCCGGCCCCCCCCCCCCCCCGGCGGCGCCACCCCTGGCGCGCTTCGGGGGAGGGGCATGCAGCCCAAGAACTGCACGCGGACCTACGCCGCTGATTCTGACTTGTGTTCTTGTCGTGATGAAGTCTGATTGTTCTTCCGCTTTCAACGATCGAGCCTTGTCTGGTCCCTTGTCCATCGTACTCCTGTTCCGTTTCCTCTGTGATGGGCCGTTTCTGCTCAGACCAGTTGTGCTCAAGTCATGTCTCGACGCCGACTGCGAGAGTTGCATTCAGCCGAGCACGCGGCTCACTAAGCGGCCGCCGCCAACAGCCCCTGGCGACCTCCGGAAGCGCGCGCGCCGTCCTTGGTGCGACGACGGTATCGGGGAGTGTAGGAGCAATGGGGTCAGCGATGGGCCACCGTCTGGCGCGCATGCCAGTGGTGCGCACACGGGTAGCGCGTATTCGGGGTTTGCTAGAGGTGTGACTAGCCCAAGAGATCCCCAGCTTTTCGCTCCGTTTTGAAGCCCCAGGGGTGCTTGGGTGGTCATGGGGGGTGACCGAAATACTGGAGTGGACAGACCTCCTACCCTGACACGTCGATTAGCGAATTGGCCGTTTTCGGTTCGCGAGGGGGTGTCGCGGCCGTCATTCTTGCGGGTCCAGGCCCGTCGGTTTCGATCCCAGGCTTTTTCACTAAAGAGTGGTTTACTAAAGGGAGGTTTGTCTACCGCCGAGACGAGCGATTATCCCCATGGAAGCAGTCGGGGCTTCTGGGGCTGCAGATTGAAAGGACTCATTCCGTGTGATGCCAGGGTTGAAGCCCAACAGGCGATGGCCCCTTCTGAGTCTGACCGGCCCTGTCGTCTGAGCTCTCGCGCGGGCGCGATGGTGCCCCTCCCGAGGCCGCCCGATCGCCCAATCGCCTCGCATGGCCCAGGTTTGTCCGATCACTTGGAACCGCCAGGGCCTCCCCAGCTCTCAGTGGCCTCCCGGAGGCGTAGCAGTCTTGCTCCCCGAGCCTTTTTGGGGCGGCCCCCGGAACTGGCCACGGCCCCTGGAGGCCGAGAGCGGCCAAACGCCCCCCGCAGCGATGTTCTCACGACCGTCGCCGGGTTGGCCCGAGCCTTGGGGGCCGCCAGGGCCCCCCCTCTGGCGCTCCGCCTCCGGCCGGCTCCGCGGGATGGCCCTCTGCAAGGCCGGCCGCGGGCTCCCCCGGGCGAGCGCCAGCTGGCGCGGGTGCAGCAGCGCGGGCGGCGCGGAGGGGAGGCCCGGGCGGCGTGCGTGTCTGGTGCGCCGTCGGCCCTCGGCGGTTCGGGCCCTTTCCCCCCCCCCCTCCGCCTCCGCTGCTGCCCTTTCTCTCTTCCCTCGGGCCTGGTGCGTCCGGTGCCTTGCCCGGGGGCGTGCGGACTCGCTCTCGGGGGTCTGTCCCCGATCTATCGGCGACGTATCGCCGATTCCAGGTCGATGCTTCCCCCTCCTCAGCCGGTCCCCCCCTGACGTCCCCCCACAGTCCAGGACGGGTGTTGGGGACTAGGCTAGGGGTGTGTGGATCTCATGGCCAGGGCCATGAGATCTTGTATATCATGGCCCCTCCTTTCAGTGAGTTCCCTGTGCCCCCGCCCTTGTCCGCACACATGCCTCGGACCACGATGCGATGACACCCCGTTCTTGGCCCCCTTCTCCAGCACACCCGACTTTCGCTCCCTGCCTTCCTGAAGAGACACAGGCCTCCTCGTCGCGCAAGAAAGCGTCCCGGGAGGCTTTTGGTCGTTTTCACCCCCCAGGGGCCTTCCCTCACCCGGCCCTTGGCCCGCCAAGAACGAGTCGGGATGAAGTTCCGCTCCTGTGGAATGGGCCTAGATCTCTGGGTGTCCATTCTTCGACGCTCGATCCATACCCCTGCAGTTTCCCCCCAGTCATGGCGCCAGGGGAAGCAGGGCATGGAGAAACCATGGTGCTGGCCGCCAGAATTTTACCCATGCCGCCGCTCTGGCCCCTCGTGGGGTCGGAGCGCGAGCAGGGGCATGGATAAAACTCAGGAGGGAAAGAAACAGACAGACACAATGAATCGTCGACTCCCAGGGAAATACGGGAAAGTATGGGAGGTGGGGGGGAAGACAAAAAACCGAGGAAATATGGGAAAATATGTGGAATCTAGTTATTTGTGTCTATTTATTTGTGTGTCCCAGGGCCCCTTCATGGAAGGGCGACATGGAGGCGAGGGGCTGTGTGAGGTCTGGGGGCTTGTCTGGCTCGGCGCCACGGCTTGACGCGGCTTGACGCGGCTCGGCGGTTTTGTGATCCTCGTCGCCACGGCTTGTCGCGGCTCGGCGAAATCGCGAGTATGGACCTGAGCAGGGACCCTGGGGTTCGTTTTCAGCGGGTTTTCGCCGGGGGCTGAGCTAGGCCTCCCAGACGGGGTCAGAGCAGATGGGGTCGGAGGATCCCGCCGCATCGCCGATGCATCGACGATGCGGATCGATGGGGAGCCCGATCTTCTCCACGCTGACGGCGCCGATGTATCGACGACGCCCGCCGGTGCATCGCTGGATGCGTCGCCGACGCATCGTCGATGCGTCGGCGATGCGTCGGCGATGCGGCGTGATCCTCCGACTTCTCAGACCCCCTCTGGGAGGCCTCAAGCTGGGCGAGGGGGGAGGGCGGGCACCAGATATGCACACTTTCGGGGCTCCCGGGTGCGGAGCCCCTGCGCACTGTGGTGATCCTGGGCAGCACGCGGGCCAAGCGGATCGGCGAGGCGGTCTCGCAGTACTTGGTCGCAAAGCTCGATGAGCGTGGCGGGCACTCCGTGTCGGTGCTGGATCCGAGGACGACGGAGGACGGCTTCTTCATGCGGCTGATGGAGAAGGCGTATTTCCATTACAGGTCGGGCGACGGGATCGACACATACCCACTGTTCCTGGCCAAGCCCATCATGTGACCTGGAGCGGTGAGTCTGCCTCCCCGGCCAAGCCAGGAGGGCACCTTGCTCCTGGGCCCTGCATGGACCTGACTAGGGACCGGATATGTACACACACATATATATATATATATATATATATATGTATATATATACATTTATAGATATGTATATATATCTATACCTGTTTACGTATGTATATATACATATATATATACACATTTGTTTATGTGTTTACATATATATATATATATATATACATATACATGTATATATGTATAGACTTCGTCGCCCTAACAGGGAGGGGGAGGCGGTGCCAGCGGAGCTGGAGCGCACCGCGGCCACCCTGCGGGCGGCCGACGCCTACGTCGTCTGCGCCCCAGAGATGAACCACACCATCCCGCCCGGGCTCACGAACCTCATGAACTACTTCGGCTCCTCCGTGTACAGCAGGAAGTGCAGAAGAAGTCAACCAGAGTGTGCCAACCGGGTGTCGGGCTCCCGTGAGCAGAAACCTTCGCCTTCTGATGTGCCGGCCGGGTGCCAGGTGTGCTGCTCGACCTAACGCCTGGTTGGGGAACTCTGGCCGACCACTTCTTGAAGGAAGCCCAGCGGCATCGCCACCTACTCCGCCGGGCACTGGGGCGGCGCCCGCTGCGGCGTCGCACTGCGCGCCTACCTGAGCGAGCTGGGCTGCATTCCCGTGTCGGCCACCTTCCAGCTGCCGCTGGCCTGGCGTGGCGGGACGTTCGACGAGCGGGGGCAGCTGGCGGCCGACTCCGTGGCCGCGAGGAGTGCCGACAGGATGCTGGAGCAGCTGGAGTGGCACGCCAGGGCCATGAGGGCTGCCCGCTTGGCTGAGCGCAGCGGGAGCGAGTGAGCCCTCCTCCTCCTCCTCCTCCTCCTTCTTCTCCTGCTTCAGCTCGGACGGCCAAGATGCGGCGCAGAAAGAAGCCGCAACGCACAGACAGCTGCAGCGCAAAGGAACGTGCACCGAAGGAGGAGTGTTTTTTTCTGGGCGAGGGGGCGCCGTGGGCTTCACACTCTCCCCGACCCTCTCCAAACCATTCACTTCTCACACGCGGAATCCTGAGCTCCAGCTCGGAAAGTCTCCCCAAACCATTTGTTTTACGAGCTGAAGCTCGAAAAGCCAAAGTGAAAGTTTCAGGCTTACGTTTTTGTTGTGTGGCGTCCAGCCGTGCGCTACACGGTTAATAGGTTTACTATACGAGTCCAAGGGTCGGTGTGTGTCCAGTGTCGACGTCCCCGATTGAGTGAAGCATGCTCCCGCCTCCCGCTCGTTGACGTGTGCGCGCTGCTGGAAACCGGTGTTGGCCCATAGCCTAAACATTTTCGATCGCACCATGTGGGCCGACCATGTCACCTGTTGGACGTTCGAAGGTGTTCCGCGACCCAGGTGGCGTTTCCCTCCGCCTCTCTCCTCCTCCTCCTCCTCCTCCTCCTCCTCCTCCTCCTCCTCCTCCTCCTCCTCCTCCTCCTCGTCGACCGCCGTCGTGACCTCAGGGTGGTCGCAGCCGCGCACGCGTCGCCACTGCCGTGAGGCTGCGGGGGTCCAGCCGGGGCCTCAGAGGTCGAAACCAGGCCTCGCCGCCCTGGGTAGAGCGAGTGGCCCGACGGCCGCCCCTCTCTTGAGGTCCTGGGAGGTCCAGGCGGAGTGCGGCCCCGCGCGTGTCCGGACGAGATCTCGCCTCCCCCGCCTGCCTTGGGGGGGATTTTTTTTTGGATTGGCTCCTCGTACCTTGGGGGGGGTGAGGGAGGGGGGCGGGGGAGCTGCGACCTTCGGCGGCGCGCCGAGGGGGGAAGCGAGAGGGGGCAGGCCTCCTCAGAGGGCTGCTCCCCCTCCTGCCGCTCCTCCTCCTCCTCCTCCTCCTGCTCCTTCTGTTCCTCCTGCTCCTGCTCCTGCTCCTGCTCCTGCTCCTGCTCCTGCTCTTCCTCCTCCTCCTCCTCCTCCTCGGCGGGGCTGCGGAGCAGGCTCGGAGGGAACTTCTCTCCGAAGCCGGGAGGCCCTCTGAGCTCTCTCTCCGCTCCCGGGCGCGCCGCCGGGCACCTGCCAGCACGCGTCGCCTGCAGCCCTGCCGCCGCTGCAGGCCGAGGCGCCGGCCCCCGCGCGGTGGCCGGCGCCAGGCCGACGAGAGGCTCGCTGGCGGGCCCCCCTTGCGGTGGCGTTCTCGGGCCCCGAGCACTCGGGCCTCCCCAGACATCGGGCGTCTCGAAAACATCGAGACGAGGGTTGTTCGTAGTTTTTGGCCTCTCGGGGCCCTCACCGGGCCTCGGGACCGTCAAATCACGACTCGGGACGAAGAACAGGTCCCAGGGAAGTGGTTTCAGGTCGGGGGCCTGCGCCTCGGAAAAATCGAGACAACAGATGTCTGGGTCCAGCGCTCGGCTGGGACGCTCCCGGCACCCCTGGGAGCGCTCTCGGCGAGGCTCGGGGGCTCCCAGATGGGGTGGTGACTACGCCGTGCGGTGAGCCGGTGGGGATTCGGGGTCACCGCACGGCTTCGGGGCTCGGGTCGTTCTCCGAGGGCGTCCCGGGCGACCTGGGGCATCCGAGATCCCAGAGCCGTGCGTGGACGGACCGTGCGGTGAGGTCTTTGGGGTGATTTTCGAGGTCACCGCCCGGTCCGTCACCGCACCGCTTCGGGAAAGGAGGCGCAGCTGCTGGTAGGCATCCCGTGGCGGGAAGGCTGCCGAGAGCCGACGAGACGCACGACAGCCTCGATCTGCGCAGCTCGTCTCCGCTCGGAGCCCATCGCCCCCTCTGCCCCCCTGCCCTCCTGCCCCAGGGGTTTGACGACGTTTCGCCCGTCGACCTCTGTGGCGCTATCCCAGGCCCGTCCAAAACATTAAGGGGATCAAAAATCGACATAAACATAAAACTCGTGCGGAGTCCAGCGCAGGATTTCTTTCTCGGATCGCCGCTGGGGGCCTCCCCGGCGGCGCCGGTCCGCGGCCGGGCCCTGGCGGCGCGTACGCGCGCCATGGGAGGAGGGTTCCAGCGCCGATCCGGAGATAAAAAGAAAAAAAAAAGCATCCGCGCGGACCTCCGAGTTTTTATGTTTATGCCACTTTTTGTTCCCCTACTCCTGCCCCAGGGGTTTGACGTTTCGCTAGTCGACTTGTGGGTATCCAGCCGAGCGAACCACTGCAGTTGCAGATCTGTCGGGACAGATCTAGGCAAATCCTGGCCAGTCCATGCCGATCCATGCAAGTCCAGAGATCTCCAGGGAGGCTTGAAGAGCCAATCGTGGCCGCTCCGGCGCGAGTCGAAGGACGGCACACGCTGTGAAGCCCCTGACGACGGCGGCGCCATGCGCGGCGCTCTGGCGGCGGGCTCCCTCGGCCGCCTCCTGGCGCGCCCAGGCGACGGCCCGCTGACCAGCGTGGCCGCCTGCCTGGGCGGCGCCGCCGCCGCCGAGATGCTTCCGGCCGCCGCGGCCTGCCGCCGGCCCTCCCTCTCAGACTCGGCGCGATCGAGAGGGGCACGCAGATGGAGCATCACACGTTCTTGTGGCTACTGGTGGCCATACGAACGTGTGATGCTCCATCTGAGCGATGCGTGTGTGTGTGCGTGTGCGTGTGCGTGTGTGTGTGTGTGTGTGTGTGTGTGTGTGTGTTTGTGTTTGTGTTTGTGTTTGTGTTTGTGTTTGTGTTTGTGTTTTTGTGTGTGTGTGTGTGTTTGTGTGTATGTATGTATGTGTGTATGTGTGTGTTGTGTTGTGTTGTGTTGTGTTGTGTTGTGTTGTGTTGTGTTGTGTTGTGCTGTGCTGTGCTGTGTTGTGTTGTGTTGTGTGTTGTGTGTTGTGTGTGTATGTGGGCAGGATTTGTGCCCTCCCCCTGGCTCCGAGCATCGAGTGAGAAATGCGATCATCACGTGAAGATCGGTCTGAATTCTGTTTTTGGCCAGATAGTTGCGTACGCGGCTTCAGCACAAGCGGGAGAGACGGGTTTGCAGCAGCAGCGCTTCCCCACCTCCACAGCCATTTGCCTCGGACGCTCCACAGAGGGCCGTGCGAGCAGCGCGCATTTTGCACTGTACGCGCGTTGAGTCTTGGAAAAAGGTCATGGTGTGAAGACTCCGGCGGCGGAGTCCGAGCCCTGCGCTCGCCGATCAAAGATTCAGGCAACTCGACGGGCGGCAGGGGCAGGGCTCGGAATTCGTCAGACACGTGGCGAAGTCCGACCCCGTACCCCCCGCCTCCCATCGACTCACGAGAAGCGATGGTTGCTGGGGGGTCGGGCTCGGACGCCGCTGTCTAGTAGACGAAGGCTGACAACCAAGTCCTATCCATTCTGAACAGGGCTCGATGGCGATGCCGCCGCGGGCGTGGTCCGTTCGAGACAGGAGGCTGCCTGCCCAACAGCGGCCGCTGTCGGTTCTGGACGACATTTGCCGTTCGGCATCGTACCCATGTTTGTCCGTACCCATTTCGGGGGTCCGAACAGACGAGCAACGACATGACGATGGACATGTTTTCTCCCAGATGGGTGCTGCCTGAGTCAGCCTGGGTGCCAGAGCGGTCTCTGGTCTGTTCTGGCGTTTTTGCTGGTTCTTCCAAGGTTTCCCGCTCCGGGATGCGCTCTAGCAGCTGCACCTCGCCGAGAGTTGTTTGGGGTGTCCGAGTCGTCCCGGACGGCCGCCGGATGCCTGAGGTACGGCCCGAGCGCCGAGTGGACCAAGATCGCCATGAAACAACCTTGCCCTGAAGTGAACGCGTCCCGAGTTTTTTTTTTTTTTTTTTGCCGTTTTCGAGCCCCCTGGGCCGTCCCCGTCCCTGGGCATGGTCGGACGAAAGGGGTGGTCAGGGAAGAAGTGTGTGTGTGTGTGTGTGTGTGCGTGTGTGTGTGTGTGTGTGTGCGTGTGTGTGTGTGTGTGTGTGTGTGTGTGTGTGTGTGTGTGTGTGTGTG